GAGGGATGCAAAAATTATTTTGTCAAATGTGAAGGACTATGGATCGAATTATATGAAATTTGATTTAATAATTTTGCCCCTAAAAAATGATCACGTGCCAGGCATGTGGTGGATTTTAGCAAAAAACTAGTGAAAAACCTAGGTAGGAACCAAATTTGACTAATGTGAATTTGTAAGGGATGTAAAATTATATTTTTAAAAGTGAAAGATGAAAAAAATCATTTTAAAAAATGTGAAGGATGTTTTAAACAATTTTCGCTCAAAATTATACACATTTTTATGCAATATATGTACCATCAAAAAAATCAAACAAAAGTTTGTGGGTTCTAACACTTCGAAACAAAGCAAAGAAATGTCTATGCTTGAGTGCTAGCAAAAACAATTGAAGCAAAAACCTTACAACATATTACTTTTACATAAAAAATACAAATTATAACAAGTATACAACAAAGTAATACACATCTTTAGAACAAACAAAATCCAATTATAAAAAACAGACCATACTTATTTAGGCTCCGTTTGTATTCCTCATTTTTTTTGAAAAACAAGTTTTTCATATATAGTGCTATAGTAATATACAAACAAAAATAACTCTAAAACACTGCATCCATACAATATATCAAAAATAACTCCAAATATACAAAAAAAATAAATAAAATCAATACTATTTTCTTCTTCCATCTATCACCACCACCATCCCTACCCACTACCGCTACCATCCCCTCCATTTTCCTCTTTCCTCTCTCTCCCTTTTCCTACTCCCCTTTCCTGCCCCCCCCACCGCTCCCCTTCCCCCATAAATCTGGCCTTGACCAAAGCCTATGATCTAGCCACGGCCAGATCATGACCAGAAAGACCGCGATCTGGCCGCGATGTCATGACCAAAGGCCTTGATCTAGCCTTGATCGGATTCGAGGGGGAAGGGAAGGGGAAGGAGAAGGAAGAAAGAGAGAGAGGAGGAAGAAAGACAGGAAGGAGGAGGGAGAGGGTGGTGGTCGTAATTTTTAAAAAATATCACAAAAATTTTTAAACTTTAAAAGTACCTCATAATATATTCCAAAAACACCTTTAAAAAATCACAAAAAATATTTATATTAAAAAGTTTTTTATATACAGAGTTACAATAAAATATTTCAAAAAATCCCTAAAAATATCTAATCCAAATGGAGCGATTACTCAATTATTATTCTACCTCAAATAATAAGATTAGGTCACTTTAGGTACTATTATAGCAAAAAAAAAAAAGAGAGAGAGAAACCTTGCCTCCAAATTTTTAATAGAACTTGTTAAGAATTTAGTATATACACTAAATTTGTATACCAAAAAGGAAATTAATAAATACATATTTATGTGTTTATGTGAGGGAAGCTGTTTTGGTTTTCCTTTCCTTCAAGTTAATATTCTATGACGGGTAGGGTTTTAGTCCATATCTAAGATGGATTGTATTGTTGTAGATTTGTCTATAAATCAGCTGGTTGGAATTGCTAGAAAAAATAAGGTTTGCATTTCATTTTGGCCCTCAAAAGTAGTTTTGACTGATTGAACTTCTATGAAAGTAAAGAAATGTTTCAATCTAGCCCCCCTGTTGGAACAAGAAAAAAATTGTTCTTTTTTTTTAAATCCTATTATATTACAAGGAGAGGTCTTGGGGAAGGGGATACTGGAGAAAAGGGAAGACGCCAATTACTACTGTTTTTGTGGTGTGTCTGGTAGAATTGATGTTGCTGCTTCTTGTTCAAACGCCAAGCAACACCCCACGAAGGAACTTAAGTTCCCAATGGTGGCCGCTAGGCCGAGGCCCAGTGGTTAAAAAAAATTGTTTCAACCTTTCGAACAAGAAAACTTATTTCAATTTGGCTCCAATCCCTGTTTCCTTTAAGTATTTTTTTTAATTTCCTTTATGTACTAATTAATATTTAAACAATACAGCTATGACACTTTGACATGTGCAGCTGAATATATTAGTCTTCTATTTTGACAGACGTTAACTAAAGTTCTGATGTTTTGTGGAGATTAGGATGTTTTGTTTAGATGGAACTTCTATGGTGGAGACTAGGGATATGTTTGATAACATAAAAAAATGCTGAATCTGAATTTTTTCAGACATTCAGATGTTTTGAGTGTTTGATAAATGAAAATCTATTTGCTAAACTTGTTAAGTAATGCCGAACCTGTGTGTATTTTTTTAGTACAAGAATCCTAACTGAATGTGCAATTCTGATAAGAATCAATAGAGTTACTTCAACTATCTTATCTTATCTACCAAATCTACCCTTGTTTGTTAATTATGTTCAAAATTCTTATTTAATTAAACAACCTAATATTCTCTATCTAACGATTTTTAGTTTCTCTTTTCTCCCTTTTTAATGACTTTCACATCTTCTCCATGCTTCTCATATAATATATTTCATTTTTTATATTAATTTGATTTAAAAATAAATATTGTCATTTTCATACCTAACAATTTTAAACTAATTAAATCATAGATTCTATTTCTTTTTTGAATGAAAGGATATAAGGGCAAAATCCTCAAATTAAGCTTATTAAGCATTCAGCTATAAATATTTATCAAACAGTATAAATAGGTTTAGCATTAAAATTCAGACATTCATATATTTTTTTCAGTGCTTAAAATTCAGCAAATTAATTGTTTCAGTATTCAGATTTCAGAATTCAGGCTTCAGAATTCAGATTCAGTTTTATCAAACTAAAGTTGATTAGCAATTTGTGTTTGATAAATTTTAAGTTTGGCTCGAGTCCGATGCGATTAGCGTATAAGTAAAATTTACCTATAAAAAGTTTAAGTTACTTGAACTTAAATTAAATTCAACTTAATAAAAGCTCGTTCCAACTCGACTCGAGAAATAAACAAATCAAACTTGAACGAAATTTCAAAACTCATCAAAATAATTAAACAAGTTTGAGCACTAGAGAGTTCGCTTGTTTAGGTTTTATTTACACCCTTGATTTTGAGCATGAAATTCCACCTCTAGGAGGGAAATCACTTTTACTGACTACATTATTTGTCTTTATACCCAAAACATTATTGTTAGTTTAAAAGGTTTCTGCCACTTTATTCCTTTTAATCCAAACTACATGGGGTTATAGATAGGTTTCAAAAGCACATAAAGGTTTGAAATTGATATGTATCATAAGACCTAATTTAGTTAGTAGGAACATTAGTCAAGTGCTTAGACTTTAGAGTCTTCTTTTGGACCAAAACAAAAGTGATTTTGTAAAATAATATTAGGAATTAAATAAAACACTAAGATCTTAAATCAAGCTCCGACATATCACATTAAAATTATGTATATATTATCCATAAAATAATATTAGGAATTAAATTAGAAACCAATCTCTCAAGCATATTAAACTAATTTAGGATGGAAAAGTTCCACCTCAAATTTCAAACTCGTATAGGATTTAAGCTTTAAATTCAAGGTTGACTTTAAAAATATGAAATGAAAGTTAGATTCGTTTAAAGGGACTAAAATGACTTGAAGCCAAACCACAGGGGCCATTTGCAATATTTGCCCAAGATGACGACATAGCGAAATGGGCGTCTCTCTCTTCCCAATTTCCCGACATCCCATCTATGCTGTCTGTAGTGGTCCGGCTTCCCATTCCCAACAAATTAAGCTCCAGAGCCCTAAATCAAGATTCTCACCAGCTCTCAAAGCCATGAAATCTTAGGCATGTTTCTTTTATCTCATTAATTTGTATCATAAATTAATGATTCTTATTGATTTTAGTTCTTAATTCTTGCCCTGAATTGCCTAAGATGGTAAATATCAGAAACATGCTTACCCTCATCTTCAATCTTAGCAAATTTTACTCTTTTAGCTTACTTTCTGTGTGAATTTCATGTTTTAAGTGATTATTTTGATTCTTTTGTTCTGAGTTTAGACTAGGATTAACAACAACAGAGTAAATAAGGAAAATGAATTTTGGGTTTATTTCTACCCCAATTTTCTGGGGTGTCCTTGCTGTTGTTTCTATGTTTTTATTTGACGTTTGGGTGAAATTTTTAATCTGCTTTGAGGAATTAGAACTATCCCATGCTTTGTTTTGGCATGAACGCTAAGACTTGTTGATTTTCTTGCTATTTAGGAGAAAATAGCTATCATGATTTTTGAGTAAACTACATTTCACTTTTCCGTGATGGTAAAAGTTTCAATGCTTAAATTTTGCATGCACAGAATATTAGGAATTTTGCTAGTGATGTTTGTGGAGTTAGCTGTTTTTTTTTTCCTTTTTTTTTATGTTTGTTTGTTATTTTGGATCTGGTCACCTATTCATGTGTCAATGTAACATAGATTCAAATGCACGTTATGCATACTTGGCTTTAAGCTGAAAGCTTACAACATGTAGGATCTGTATGGTCGTTTAATGCTTTTAATGCTTTTGGTTATCTGTATAAGTAATTAAAATCTATGATTATATGTCTACCTATACTCGTACATCTAAAGTAGAAAGATGAATTCCCAAGATTGATGGGATTCTTAAATGTGATGATGCAATATACTGGATAGTAAACAGTAATCAGTCACATTAGTTGCAATTCTTTTTGAGACAGTTTCAGAAAGAGAATAATATTATACCAAAATGAGTTGGGGAACTCGACATTAAATTGGATCAAGCGCAAAAAATTTCCATTTAGAAACCTTTAGTAGGTCATTAATAACCATTTCTAGAAAAATATTGATAAATGTAAATTGTGTGAATGGCAAATTTATATTTACTGCAACAAAAAATGATCGTACACATTTGTATGTGTGTGCAATAGTTCATAACCTTGAAAAAAGAAAAGAAGGAAAGCATGCATGAAAGCCAAGAACTATGGTGCACAACTACTTTTCGTACTGCTAATGTCCATGCTGTATTTAGAATTGACATGCAAAGGTAGTGCAGGTTGTGTCTGTCTGTGAAAAGTGAGTTACAAGTGAAGATGGAGCTACTTGGTTGCAGTTGATGTGGAGAAGACACACAGAGAGGTACTAGGGTTAAGTTTTTGTCTGTCATTTGATGAGTTGTGGACAAGTATCCTTTTTGCCTGTGTCGTGCCTTTGGCAACTATGTGTTGTGTGCACTTATGTTTTTCCCATGGTGCTTACCATATGATTAGACCCCATTTCGACTTTTGTATCTTATTTAGATTCATTTAGGTTTAATTTGCTTTTGTCTACCAATGTTTCTGCCCAAGCTGCAGTGAGAAATTCTTTTCATTGATAAAGGCTAACATAGTGCAAACTCTCCAAAGGTCCTCAAGCAGATATCATTTATTGATTTCAAGATCTTGAATTATAAGGTGTGGCAGATTAACAGTAAACACAAACTTTCACCTTATCCATCCTCATCCTAAGACTTTCCTTCCTCTTCCTCTTTTTTATTCCCTTTCTCTGTTCCCCATCCATTCCTTTCTCTTTCTCTTCCACTTTCTGCCCCTCATATCTATCAAAGATACATGCCTGCACAGATGAAGTAAATAAGCATAGCCGCTTGCACAGTTTCAGACATAGGAGCTTACAATCAACAGGGACATGGATGTGCAGTCACACACCCATAGAAAACTCAATCACTTATAGACACCATTACACATAAATAGAACACGGGATCCCTTATAGAGACACCAAACACTCAAAGCATACAAATAGGTGACTGAATTTGGAAGATAGGGTATGATAGAAAGGTGGTTACGAGAATAGGAAGGTTGGGGGTGAGGATAATTAGAAATTGTCGATGCTCCAGTCTTACTTTTCCTTTTTTTTTTTTTTGTGGAGCCAGTGGAGTAGATCTTTTACTACAAAGCAGAAAGTGCTTCATTGCTTTTTTTCTTCTTTGCAATGCATGTGATTAATACATTTAACAAATTAACTCCATTTGAATCTTCTGCCATAGGTTGTGGTTAATTTCAAAAGTCTGAGATACTGGTGGTATTGTGGCAGAAAAAGAATGCTGGGGAATGCTAATATAATTAAGTCTTTGCTATTTGGTTTTATGATGTCATCAAATGGATGAGAAGGAGCTGTTTCCACCCACATGAGAAGCTAAAGGAATAACATCTGAACACAACTTCTTTGATAGTTTAAAAGTTTGATTTTCTTTTAGTTTTTGAGGTCAATGTTTCCAGGACCTGTGTAAATGTAGGTTTGAAAGATGCAATAATCAAACTAGTGTTCTCTAAGTGATAATTTGAGTTTTCCCTGACAGTTCAAGGATGCTTGCTCTTGGAAAATTGTGAAAGAAATGAACTGTATTGATAGGAAATGGAAAAAACAATAAAATATGTAGAGCAGGGTACAAGACCAATTTAGAAAAATGTTCATTCTTGGTTGAATTCTTTTTACCATTATGGTTGTCCTTATTAAATTTTCGACTTGTTGTCAGAGGCATTGTTTTCTTTTTATGTACTCACCAAAAAGTTTGAGAAAGAAAGAAGTACCATGTTAGGTAATTATTTTGTGTGGACTTTATTTAAGATATAACTTCCTTAGTTTTTTATAAATTATTTTTCCTTAAACAGTAACTGTTTATGAAAACTAATTTTTCGAAGATGTACTTTGCTGTTTTGCTTTCAGAACTTAACACTAAAAGGCAACCCAATCTTCTCTGCTGGCAATCATGAACTCCAGTTTCCATTTTGTGCTACATGGCATTGATATTCTTTTGACTAATCACCTCTGGATCTGCGTGTTTTAGTTCTTTGCATGCAAATGATAACGTAGTGATTTCCTTGTGAAATTGTGATTGTTGATTGTGTAACAATGCTATCATGAGAATTCTTTGTGTTCTGTTACATCACTTAGTTGGAGAGTGTGATGCGGCACCCCCTTAATGACCAGAAGGAATAGCCCTTGAGGATCTTTAGGAACCTAAGACCAATGATCTTTAGGATCTTTACAAGTTAAAGGAAAGTGTTATTGGTACTTGATGGTATTAAAAGCCTGTTATATGAGTCTTAGTTTATTTTGTTGAGTGGTAATGTTAAGAAAACTAGTTCATATTTTAAAGTTCATATACTCTATAGCTAGAGGCACATGGAGTCAAGCTTTTAGTGTCGAAGAGCCAAAGTAGGATCTCACTGTTCTTAGAATGTACTTTCCTTCTTTTTAAACTTCCCTTAGCTACTAAGTGTGGTAATCCCTATTTAGTGTTCGACTCCATATTTTTTCTTCTGTATGGATGATTTATAGAGTCCCATGTTCAAATGGCATGAATATTTTGCTCTGCTGTGCTGAGATGTATATATGTATAGAATAATGAAAATTCTTCCACTGTCTCCCTTTCTCATTTTCTTTTTCTAGCATCTCTATTGCTTCCTTTTCCTATCACTCTTTTTTGTTGTTGACTCCATCGTGTTCACACTCATTTTTGGTGATGCATCAATGTGTCCAAAGCTTTGGTCCTTGAGTTAAAGATCTTACATTAATGCTAATATTGTTATCAATCTGATTTTCGACCACTTTCACACCATAGGAAGCTCAAAAATGATTTGACTGAGTTGTAAAAGAATATTAAAATCTAATAAAAAATTGTATGGTAGGCTGATTATCATGCAAGTGATTTCTTGTGAGTGTCCTGAAAGCTTAATGCTTTTCATTTGTGTGACTTTGTGTTTGGTTCCATTTGGGGATGAAGTGAAATTTTTGGATGATCAAGATGTAATTAAAGAAGACAAAATGAAATAATTTGTTTGTCATGTATGAAAATTAGAACATGACATGATTCTTCGCCTAGCATTTAGAGGAATGAGGATTTCTCCTTTCTGGTTGCTCCTTTTTCCTTCCCTATATTCAAGCTTGTTTATGTACGTATACTACAAGCTGCCTTGTGTGTATATACTTTTATGATGACATCAAGTATATGGACCTACCATGTTTTAGAGTTGAGTTCTCTCTAGCTCATAACCTTTCTTTAGAAGTCAAAAGACAATTGAATTGCTGGAACAAAGAAAAGAAGAAGACACAACCTGGTGTCTGAAAAGAAGGAGATTCTTTTGGTAATTTAATGTGCTTTAGTTTTCTTTTTTTTCTGATATCCACATTGATTGAAGCCTTGACACCTTGGAAGGCAAAACATAGAATCAACGCATATTGCTCCTCTATGGCAGTACTATTGTTCATTACAGATGAGAATTTGGTTGCAGAAAAATGAAAAGGAAAGATAGATGCTGTGACAAGGTTGTGCCAACACCGAAGAGAAATAGGAAATCCAAGTCCGAAGTAAAAGTGGATGAGTTTCAGCGCCTCCCAGATGAGCTGCTTCTCTCCATCTTCACCAAGATGCCAGATTTCAAATATGTTTGTCAATGCTCATTAGTCTGCAAGCGCTTTGCATCTGTGATCACCCTTGTGCACAATGTTACGGTGACTTTTATTAGCAAAGAATGTGAGGTATCTGAAGATCTCGCACACATCCAGAATGCTTTTGATAAGAAAATGTCCCCTCAAAACCAAATAACTCCAAAAATGGACATAACATGCTTGCGCCAGACACTGAAGTTTATCAATTGCCTCAGGAAATTTAAAGATCTAAAATCTGTCCACATCAAGTTCTCATATGTGGAAACATCATCATCCACGCCGCTTGAGTGGAAGACAAAGTTTGGACCTGAACTGGAATATGTCGTGGCTCTTTTACCTACTTCAATTGAGAAGAAAACCAAGCAGGAACTTAGTCAAGATCAAGAAGTTGGAGATGTTACATGGAGTCTTACCGAAAGTGAGTTGGAGCATAGTCTATACAGGGCATATGGCTGTTGCCAAGAGACTGTTGTAAGACAAACTATTCTATATATGTTAGTTGAGCATCACTCAATGCTTCATAGTGTGACAATAACAGACTCTGAGAAACAGGGGCGGTTGTGCATACAAGATGAACAGCTTCTTGAGTTAAAAAATAGCTTTAGAAATAAAGACTTGGAGCAGATATTTGAAGAAGTCAAGATACCTCATATATTTAAGGTTGGCTATGTGCCTGTTGTACGTTTGCCTGCATTAGGATACCTCTTGAAGGGTGTTATTCTTTTGATTTTCAAGCCTAAAGAAGAGCCCTCTGCAGGTGATGAAGATGTTGATGACAACAGTGCTTTATTGGCATGGCAATATGATGATGAAGAGGTGTTTAGGGAAACTGTAAGAGAAATGTTAGTGAACCACAAAGAAAGGATGCACCTGGTTCCAAGAGCTGCTGAGGATGCTGTAGCATGAAATCTCGCTGTAACCGTGAACTAGGCATCCCCTCATTCTGTTTTACTATTGTTTTACTTCATAGAGAAAAGAGAAAATATGCACCTCTTACTTGTAGTACACCCTTATTATTCTTGACCAAGTTGGATAATATTTAAAGATTGTTGTAATTCTATTTTTGATGTCAGTATAGCATCTGATAAGTTTATACAAGTTCTACAATTTGTTGCAATGTGAAAGTGGATAAATTGCCTGATTTGTCTGCTGTGTTTGTTCCATATTGTGCAGAATACAAGTGTGGCAGTGCCTACCTCTATCATCTTTGTGCTTTACTTTTTTTAGTTGTAAAAGGAAATTTTACCCCTTCCCTGTTATAAAGTATCTGAAATTTCATGCTCTTTCTTGTCAAAGTCTTTCCAATACTTGGAAAGTTTCTGCTCTTTGAAGTCGAAGACTCTTTTTTAAGTGTGGGTTATTGAGCATGTATAACACTATTCATAATTATTGTTCAGCAGACTTTACCTAGTACTTCTACTCAAAAGGTGGTGTCCATCTTACAGGGGCAGGCACAAAAACATAAACATTTGAAGGATTGGACAAATGTAATTAAAAGAACAGCATGTGTATTAGATCAATTTACAAGCATAGGACATTGATTTGGAAACACATCTTAGACATTGCTGGCTTGTGCTTTACCAATTTTTGCCTCATTTAACCTTTTAGTTTGGCTATTAAAATTGCAGATGTAAGGTGCAAATTAAGCTTTAATGTTTGAAATCCAAGTTTTGCACATGTGTTATGGCTTCAACAGTGATAGTGTATGCACTGTCAGTCAGTGTATATAAGATTTACTCTTAAATTAAATGCATCTTTTTGGCAACCAAAATAGAAAAATGAATAGGCTACTTTATATCTGTGACCTAATATATTTTAGATTAAGCTTTTTATCTAGTAGAATAAGGATAGATTTTACTAACTGTAAAAGTATGTGAAATTCTTTTCTACAAGATAAATTTGATGAGTGCAAGTCAACACAATCCCTAATACAATCTTTTAAAAAAAAAATGTTTAGAATTATGTTCATGCTATTAGAATATAGTTGACGAATTCCTACTAATCAGTTGCCGTTAACACCTAATACAGCTTTGGTTAATTAATTATTTTATATTCCTAACAGTTGAATATAATGAAAATAGCACTAGAATCTAGATAATTAACCACCCCCCCCCCCACCACCTTCGAAGTCAGAGAGTCTTTAAGTATTGGTCACCTATGGTGCCGTTGGATTTAAGGGAGATAATTTATACCCAAAAAAAAAAAAAAAAAAGTCAACAGCAACGTGCATATGTAAGATGATTAGGCTAATTTGGATATATGGATTTGGCTCTCTCTCTGTTTCAGCTAACGTCAGAGATCTTGTTTTGGGAATAAGAAGATAAAGTCTTTTTAATTTGAGGGAACGAATTTTTTAGTTAATTTTAAGGAATGATGATATTAAGCTATCTGTGGTAAATTGCAAAAAATTGTGACTGTAAATGTATGAAGGTTTTCTGTTAAAACTCAAAAGTAAAATGATGTAAATTGGTTATTTCACTATTTTTCAATCATATATTAACTTCTAAATTGTTTAAATTATTCATTGTTGGGCCCCTTTTTTTGTTTTTGTTTAATAACCCTTGTTTGTTCATTAAGAAGATGAAGATGAAAATGAAGGTTTTGATTGTAAATGAATTAAGGGGGTGCTTGGTTGGAGGGTATAGGAATCAAGAATTGGATTGAGTCCCAAAATTGTTGCTTGGCTAATGGGTATAGGTTTTGAAATCTTGGAATGATTCATGAAAAATCAGCCACTCTCCATACCCAAGTAGATTGGAGGGTTTTGATGAATCCCACATTTGATTCCAAAATCTTAAAAAAAAAAATATTATTTTTGGGATTTTTTTTAAATATATACTGGCTCTGTTTCTATATATTAATATTTATTTATTTATATATATAATATTTTTTATTTCAATTTTGTTTTATAATATGTATATTAATATATTATTGAAAATGGATAAGGCTAGCTGTTTTGTAGAAGGAAAAAGGGTTTTGAAACCCATAGGTTGGGGTTGTTTATTGGGCCTTGTATGGTAATTCAATGGCCCAAACTGTTTGTAAAAAGATCCAAGATTTCTTCCTTGGGACTGATCTTCCGTCGGATTGGGAAACCAGTCAGCTTGTTGGTTCTGTTCACCAGTTGTTTCTTTCCAAGACTTAATCTTCTTGTATTGGATTTCAAGAAGGCCTTTGACGAAATCTTTGTCCCTGTCTGATTTCATCAAGAATATGTATTGATATCTTCTGGAGCTTGGGAATAGTTTTGATGAATCCCCTTGGACAGCTCCAGAATCATCATCAGAATTGATATTGAATAACATTGTTTCTGGCAGGATGTTCCCATCTTGTAGATCAGATTCATCCCTGTTGGTTGTGACTAGAATATCGTGAATAATATTTTTGTCTTCAATGATGAGATGTTCTTCCCACCATCTTTTGGATTGCCCAATAAATCCTATGAATAGGACATGAGCAATTAGTTGATTGCAGCCATGTAATGTTTGATTAAACATAGCTGTAGTTGTCATCTGTTGAGATGTCATAGGAGGATTGCATCTGATCATTTCATCTATGCTCCATTCATAGATGTCTTCCTTATTGTATGAATGTTGAAGGATATTAGACTTTATTCTGAAAGTATCAGAATGAATCATTTGAGGGTGGTATAGTTTTTGGGTGTTTTTTCGGTTGAAAGTATAATTTTTTGAAAAAGGGTTTGAATATGATTTATTCAGGGTAGAAGACCCTTGGAAGTTTTGTATGGTATTGATCAAAGAAGTTCTTCGAATTTCGAACTCTTGTTTGGGTAAAGGAATTGGAAAGTATTGTTCAATCCAAAGTTTTTGGTCTTCTAAAGGTTTGAAAAGTAAGTTTGAGAAATAGGTTTTTGGAGTAGGAGTTTTTGGGATGAATTGGGTAAAAAGTTTGAAAAGGTATTTTTCTGGATAGATTGTAAGAATCTTCTTGGCATGGATATAGGCTGCTTTTTGGTCAATCCTGATTTCAATTTCATGAATGACCAATTTTGTTGAAGCAGATTCTGCCTGAATCTCTTGTTTGGTGACTGATTTGTTCGGAGAAGATCTTGTCTGAGTTTTTTCCCCGATTTAATATATATATAAATATATATATTAATATACATATTATAAAAAATTGAAATATATATTTATAAATATTTATACTTATACATAAATATATATATATTTATTTCAATTGATATAATATATCTAATATACATATTAATATTAATATAATTTATATATATAATAAAATATAAATATTAATTGAAATATACATATTATAAAACAAAATTGAAATAAATATATTTATATATTTATATAAATATATATAAATAAATTTATAAAGATATATAAATATATTTTAAACAAAAATATTTATATATAAATATATATTATTTATTTCATTTGATATAATATATATAATAGACATAATTGAAATATACATATTAATATTACTATAATTTATATATATAATATACATAATTGAAATATACATATTATAAAACAAAATTGAAATAAATATATTTATAAATTTATATAAATATAAATATAAATATATTTATATATTTATATAAATATAAATATAAATAAATTTATAAATATATTTTAAACAAAAATATTTATATATAAATATATATTATTTATTTCAATTGATATAATATATATAATATACATAATTGAAATATACATATTAATATTACTATAATTTATATATATAATATACATAATTGAAATATACATATTAATATATATTAATATACATATTATAAAACAAAATTGAAATAAATATATTTATATATTTATATAAATATAAATATATTTATATTTATATAAATATATTTATATTTATATTTATATTTATAAATATTTATAAATATATTTTAAACAGAAAATTAATATTTATATATGAATATATATATGGTGGATGGGTATGTGGGATAAGCATTTGAACGAGGAAGAAAAAAGATATGAAAAGAAAAAAGAAATTAAAGGTAAAAAATTGAATATTAAATTTGATACCCATTCCTTACCAATATTTACCAAGCACCCCCATTTGTAATCATACCTTTGTCCAAAACCCATACTAATTTTTTGTAAATGATTTCAATTACAATTCCGATTCCTAAACATGAACCAAGTTTTTCTAGAAACTTGCCTCTGTGGACTGTGGGATACTTTTGAAAGTTCAGTAAGAAATTGAGAATAAATCGGTCAGACAATTGCTCTTTTCTGACTTTGGGGGTTACCTTGAATTCAAATGGTGCAAAAAATTAGAAGTTGAAGGTAGTGAGTTGTGAAAATTGAAAGTTTGGGATGCAGAGTCCAAATTTGTTATAAACTTATAGTTGAGAGGTGCAAAGTGCAATTAATCCTTTCTTAGATAGGTTTTTTTTTTTTTTTAATTTCAACATAGGAACTCTTATTTACAATTTCTCCTATCCTAGCATCCTAAAAAATGCATTTTGAGACGTAAATTCTTGATTTTCTCACATAGTTACTCAAAGTTTTGACTTGTTCTAAAAACAATAATATATGTTCAAAATCTTCGCAAATAGTTGCCAAAAGATTCTGTTACTCAAAGTTATGACTTGTTCTACAAACAATACTGTAATATATGTTCAAAATCTTCGCAAATAGTTGCCAGAAGATTCTGTCTCCATGTTGTTAAATATTTTCTGAGAAAAATGCAGTTTTGGTACCTAAACTTTGACGCACGAGCAGTTTTAGTCCCCAAATTTTGGACGAAAACAAATTTGGTACCCGAACTTTCAAATTTTGAGCACATTAAATACCCTTGACGATTTTTTCCCAAATTGTTACCGGAAACATCCATGTGACTGTCAGGTGTCCGGCGAAAATGGAAAAAAAAAAGGTCAAAATGCAGTTTTGGTACCTAAACTTTGACGCATGAGCGGTTTTAGTCCCCAAATTTTGGACAAAAACAAATTTGGCACTTGAACTTTCAAATTTTGAGTACATTAAGTACCCTTGATGATTTTTTTCCAAATTGTTACCAAAAAAATCTATATGACAGTCACGTGTCAAGCCATAATTGTATTTAAAAAAAGGCCAAAAAATGTCAAATGCCATTATAATACTAAGTATGAAATTTAAGGACTAATAGCGTAATAAAGAAAA